CTCAGTCTAGAAAACCACACATTTCTAATTGGCAGCCAGACGATAACTTATCGGATTTTTACTTTTATGTAAGTTCCAAAGAGGCATGAATTATCAAATTCCATTTTCTTCAAGAATAAAGGGAAAGAATCACATTTTTCATTAACTATTTGCTACTTTAAAAAGTCATTCTTGAAATTAAACAACTCACTCCTTAAAACTTATTTTTAAGTAATATATTTCAATAGAAATATTTCAGAAAACTACTTAAATTCATTTGAAGTTAGCTTATGCAAACATACTGAAGATCACACACTCACATTTGCATATTAAACGAAAACAAATTAACAGAGGAACCAATCCTTACGTCACTCAAGGAGATCATATACAATCAAGCACTTCATCGTTAGAGTACTTCGAGTTAAGTGGGATAAAGAATAAAAACGGCTTCTGTTTTCTATGTCATGATCATTGGATATTTATCCCCACAGCTGTTTATCCCCTTTAGATTACATTGTGAAGGAGTCCCAACTCCCTCCCCACACATACAAACTTCATCGGGCTATAAAACAATGAAATTGTCAATACTCAAGGTGTACAAACTCTTGAGAGTCTGATGAATTCCAATTGGCTACTCTGTCAGACCTACTAAGTCAATAATTATTGGATTATATTTGCGAGTAGTTCTAACAGGTGATCTCTTCAGGGGAAACTTAGCATTTTAAACAACTCGCTCTTCAATAACCAATGGATCAAAGAAGAAATCACAAGACAATTTAGAAAATAACTGGAGACAAATGAAAATGAGAACACAACATACTAAAACATGGGATGCGAAGAAAGAGCACTGAAGGGAAGTTCATAGCAGTAAACACATTAAAAAGAAAAAAGAGCTCAAATCAACAACCTAACTTTACACCTCACACAACTAGAAAAAGAAAAACAAACTAAACCCACAGTTACCAGAAGCAAGGAGATAATAAAGATTATAGCAGAGATAAACGAAACAGAGACTAGAAAAACAACAGACAAAATATCGATGAGACCGAGAATTGAGTTTTTAAAAAAGATAACAAAATTGACAAATCCTCAGCTATGCTAAGAAAAAAAGAGAGAAAACCAACTAAAATTAGAAATAAAAAAGATTATGAGACTACTATGAACAAATACATGCCAACAGATTGGATAACCTGGAGGAAATAGACAAATTCCTAGACACGTACAACCTACCAAGACTGAATTGCAAACAAATAAAAACTCTGAACAGATGTATAACTGGAAGAAATTGAAGCGGTAAACAAAAATCTCTCAACAAAGAAAAGCCCAGGATCAGACGGCATCACTGGGGAATTCTACCAAACATCTAATGAGAAATTAATAACAATTTTCTTCAAACTCTTCCAAAGAATCGAAGAGGGGGAACCCTTCCAATCTTGTTCTCTAAGGCCAGCATAACTGTGATACCAAAACCAGACAAACTACACGCCGATGTCCCTAATGAACATTAATGCAGAAATCCTCAACAAAATCCTACCAAGCTGAATTGAACAGTGCATTAAAAGAATTATATCTCATGACCAAGTGGGATCCACACTTGAAATGCAAGGATGGTTCCACATAGGAAAATCAATGTAATACGCCCCATTAATAGAACGAAGGACAAATATCACATAACTGTCTTGACTGATGCAGGAAAAAAACATCTGACGACATTCAACATCCTTTCATGTTAAATACACTCAACAAACTAGCAATAGAAGGAAACCACCATAATGTAATAAAAGCCATATACGAAAAGCCCATAGTTAACATCATATTCAATGGCGAGAGACTAAAAGCTTTTCCTCTAAGATCAGGAACAAAGCAAGGATACCCGCTCTCACCATTACTACTCAACACAGTACTGGAAGTCCCAGCCAGTGCAATTAGATAAGAAAAAGAAATAAAAGGTATCCAAAATCAAAAGGAAGAAGTAAAATTATCTCTGTTGGCGATGACATGACCTTATGTGTAGAAAATACTAAAGATTCCACACACACACACAAATTTAAACTAATAAACAGTTTCAGCAAAGCTTCAGGATATGAAAATAAACATGCAAAAATCAGTTGCATTTCTATACACTAACAATAACTAATATAAAAAAAATTAAAAAGCAATCTTATTCACTCTAACATCAAAAAGGATAAAATACTTAGGAATAAACTTAACCATGAAGATGAAATACTTGAACACAGAAAACTATAAAACATTGCTAAAAGAAATTTAAAAAGACATAAATAAATGGAAACATCCTATTTTTATGAATTGGAAGACTCAATATTATTAAAATGTCTATACCACCCAAAGCAATCTATAGATTCAATGCAATTCCTATCAAAATCTCAATGGCATTTTTTTTTTTTTTTGGTAAAAATAGCAAAAGAATCCTAAAACTCAAAAGAAATCTCGAGGAATCTCAAATCACCAAAACAATCTTGAAAATAAAGGACAAAGTTGGAGCCCTCACCCTTCCTGGTTTCAAAACACACTACAAAGCTAAAGTAATCAAGATGGTGTGGTGTCTTTATCCGTATAAAGACAGATAATAGAGACCAATGGAACAGAATAGAGAGTTCAGAAATAAACTCTTGCATATATGGCCGAATGATTTCTGACAAGGGTGCTAAGGCTATATAACGGAGGAAGGGCAATCTTTTCAACAAATGGTGTAGGAAAAACTGAATATCCACGTGCAAAAGAATGAAGTTGGACCCTAACCTTAGACTCTATACAAAACTAACTCAAACGAATTAACGATCTAAAACTAAAACACTCCTGGAAGAAAACACAGGATTCTAATTCAGGATACTGGATTTGGCAATGATTTCTTTTACATGACAACAGAAGCAAAAATAGACAAGTAGGACTATATCAAACTTGAAAACTACTGTGCATCAAAAGAAACAGTCCACAGAGTGAAAAGGCAACCTATGGAAGGGGAGAAAATATTTGCAAATCATATATGTGAGAAGAGGTTAATATGCGGAATACATCAGAAACTTCTATAATTCAACAACAGCAACAAAATGAATAACCCAATTAAAAAACGGCCAAAGAATTTGAATAGATATTTCTCTAAAGAAGATACGTAAATGGCCAACAAGCATATAGGATGCTCAATATCACTAATCACAGAGAAATGCAAATCAAAACTATGGTATCGCCTCACAACCCATCAGGATGAACGGAAAACGAGTGTTGACAAGGATAAGGAGAAACTGGAACCCTTGTGCACTGTTGGTGGGAATGTAAAACGGTGCAGCCGACAAAGAAAACATCATGGAGGTTCCTCAAAAAATGAAAAGTAGAATTACCATATGACCCAGGAATCTCGCTTGTGGATATACATCCAAAAGAATCTAAGGAGGATCTTGAAGAGATATTTGCACGCCCATGTTAACGGCAGCATTATTCACAAAAGTGAAGAGGTGGAAACAACCCACACGTCCACAACGGATAAACGAGTAAAGGAAATGTGGTGTATACACATCATGGAATATTACGTCGCCTTAAAAAAGAAGGGCATCTTGCCACATGCTGCGATGTGGATGAGCCTTTAGGATATTATGCTAAGTAAAATAAGCCAGCCACAGAAGGACACATACTGTTTGATTTTACTCACATGGAGTATCTAATGTAGTCAAAATCATAGAAATGGAAAGGAAAAAGGCGGCTGCCAAGGGTGGGGGAGGGGAGGCACAAGGAATTAACGTGTAATGGGTACAGAGTTTCCGTTTTGTAAGATGAAAAAGTTCTAGACCTCTGTTGTATAATGATGTGAATATACTTAACGCTACTGAACTATACATCTAAAAATAGTTAAGATGGTAAATTCAACATTATATGTTTTTACAACAACAAAAAAAGAAAGAAATCATAACAGATTGCAACCTGAATCTTAAAAAGTCTTGTCAATCTTGTAACGTCTAGATAAATAAAAGATAGTCTATATCTACTGCTGCCAACTAGAATCCAGATGTCATTTCATGTTTATTCAAACAAATAAGTAAATGATTCAAAGGAGTATTAAATAGATGTAAAAACGAGGCCAAGAATTTCATTTTAAAGTTCTAAAAAGCCCTGCAAAATCAATTCCCTTAAAATTCACAAACAATAAGTACGTGAAACTCTATTTAATAAAACACAACAAAAATTTGCTTGGTGAAGGGTAGGCCATTATGTATGAACACTATATATTTAAAAGATAAGACGAGATCACTACATTTTCATTGAGTCACGACCCAGCACCAAACGCGTACAAGCCCACCGGTACACCCAGTGCACCGCACATCATAGTCACGCCTCAGGTCCTCAGAGCACGTCAGGCAGCTAGGATTTTAATGAACTTTACAAGTTCTTATCACTGGCGCACATGGCAGTGTTGCCGGAGAATTTCTTTAAGGCTTTCTGTGCTATATTCCCATCAGGTATTTAATTTTCCAGAGCCTAAAAATTGAGAAAAGTCGCCTGGCTTATAAGATATAACGTTTTAATATGACACTTATGAAATTATAAAAATATTAAAAGCAAACTACCCTCTATTTGACAGGCAACAATATCTAGAACTCTGCTGTTAGGCACAATTTAAAGATATGAGCTTATTCAGATTTTATAGATAAAAATTTAAGGTTGGTTCGGTAATCCAAATTTTGCTGTGTGTCGAGCACGACCCTGGGACCAGCACGTTCCTCTTTCCGTAGGTTATACTCTCATTTGCTTTTTCAAAAGGGAACTTTAAGCGAAAATACAAAACGGCACACTGTAGTTTCAGCTAACGGGATTTCAAAGATAACACGACTAAAATTTAAAGAATAATAAATCTCTACGGTTCCTGTTATGGCCACACACCAGATACTGTACTTTTACAAGCATGAACTCAGATGAAAAACTGTAAAGTATCACAATAAAAAAAGGAATACTTGCTGTAAACTCTAAGATGGAACCGCTTTTAGAGTTCCCTTACGGCACTCCGTGCCTACCTTTTGGTTGTCACCGGCACAGCGGTTTCTTTCCTGGTCCCGGAGGGAGACGGCAGAGAGCCGCTAGGCTTCTTTGGTAGCACGGTGCCGTTGTTGACGGTGGTTCGTAAAGGCAGAGTCTGCACCAGCGGTCTGGCTGTAAGGCGAGCAGAGAGAGGGGAGTCAGAACTTGTACCTCTGTCCAAGTAGCTCTTTAAGACGTGTCGAAAGGGAGCGGACGTCAAAGTTAAAATGCTAGCAGAACTGGCAGAGGTGTGATGACAATTTGACGGAGATTTTTAACCAACGGGGCTGGTGCACTGAACCTAGATACCAACCTCACGCCCTACACAGATATGAACTCAAGGTGGACCACAGAGCTAAGTGTAAAGCGCAAAACTATAAAACTTAGAAGAAAGTCTGTGTGACTTTGGGTTTGGTGATGATTTCTTAGATACAACATCGAAAGCGCGATCCATAAAAGAAAAAATCGACGGCTTGGACTTCATTAAAATTATAAAAACTTGTGCTCTGTAAAAGACATTGTTAAGAGGATGAAAAGACGGGTCATTGATCGGGAGAAAATATTTGCGAATCGCATCGCTGATAAAGGATTTATATACAGAAAATAAAAAGAACTCTAAAAACTCGCAATAAGAAAACAAACAGCCCAATTAAAAAAATAGGCAAAAGATCTGAACAGACCCCTCACCGAAGAAGATATACAGATGGCAAATAAGCATATGAAAAGATGCTCTGCATCTTCCGTCTTTAGGGAAATGCAAATCAGAACAATAATGAGATATCTCCATTCACCTATTAGGATGGCTAAAATCCAAAAAACAGACGAGATGCCCGTCGTTGGCCAGGAGGACCAGCAGGGCTCTCGTTCACCGCTGACGGGTGTGCAACGTGGCGTGTGGCGACTGCTAGATACAGTCTTAACACGCAGCCTGGTAACTGTGACACTAGGGATTTATCCCCTGCCTGGAAAACTTATTTCTATGTTAAACCTGCTTTTAATATTTACAGCAGCTTTATTCATAATTGTTAAAACCTGGAAGTAACCAAGATGTCCTTCTATTGGTGAGAATCCGGATAAACGCACTGTGGTACATCCATACAACGGAATGCGATTCAGCAAAAAAGGCAATGAGCCGACGCACGCAGTAACACGGATGCGTCTTAAACCCCCAGTGCTAAGTGAGAGGGGCCGGTCTGAAGGGCTACACACGGTGTGATTCCATTTAAAAGACGTTCTGAAAAGGCAAAGCTACAGAGACGAAAACCAGATCGGTGGCTGGCAGAGGATGTGCGTGGTGGGTGTTAACAGGTGAAGCACAGGACGTTTCGTAGGGTGGTGAGACTGCTCTTTTACTCAGTAATGGTGGATATGGGACACCGTCACATGTCAAAACAGCACAGACTCTTACAGCGCACAGAGTGAACTTTAACGTATGCGAATAAAAACCAATTAAGAGACGGGAACCCCACGATGGAAGGAAGATCGTCGCAGAAGAATGTAACTTACGAAAAGAGCGAAGTACTGAGCAGTGTGAGGATATGTCACCTCTGACCTGCTGTGCCAGAAGTCTGCAGACCCACAGCAGACGTAAAATGCTGACTCTGATTATGTCATTTAAGAAAGACACTGAAATTATCAAAATGCACATGAATCAAATTTTAATATATTGTTTGACAGGTAAGTGAGGCTGTTCATGATACCATGTTGATTCATTTGAATTCTCAGGCTTGAGTCTAGTAGTGCACGAATCCTGTAACACTGAAAATTCAATGTAATGGAAATATGTATGGGGAAAAAAGACATTACTGAACTGACTGCAAAAACTCATTTCTTAACATTCCTTATTTCCATCGACTGATGAGTAGATAAACAACATGTCATATATCCACACAATAGAATATTCCTCAGCTACCAAAAGGGACGAAGTTCTGATACATGGTATGTGTGACACGGAGGAGCCTTGATGGCATTACGCTACGTGAGAGAGGGCAGGGGCGAAATACCACACATGGATGCTTCCATTTAAGCAGAATGTCCAGAACAGTCAAATCCATAGACGGCAGATTCATGGTTGGCAGGGGGGTGTCCTTGGAGGGAGTAAGGGGAAAGGAAAGCTGATGGGTCTGGGGTATCTTCTGGGGTGATGAAAATGTTCTAAAACTAGATAGTGTGGTGGCGGTATAACTCTGTGAATATACTAAAACCCAATGAATTGTACACACTAAAAGGGTGCGTTTTCTGTTATGTAAATTATACTTTAATAGGGTTGCTATAGAAAAGTCATTTCTTAGACAACTGAGAAAATTTGAATGCTGACTCGATGTTAAGGAATTACTACTTTATAAGTGTGACGATGGTATTATGAAGTTTTCAAGAGAATCCTTATACCTTAGAAGTTCATACTGACACATTTATAGATAAAATCAAGTGATGCCTTGGATTTGCCTAACAGGGTGAGGGGAAGTCAGTGGGGATTGGGGAGAAATAATAAATAAAACTAAATTGACATGTTGATACATCATGAAGCCAGGTGAAAAATAAAAGGCATTTCCCTTTCCACTTTTATATACATTTGAACATTTTCAAATTACAAAGTTGAAAAACAATTTTATTCTCTGAAAAACTGAATATATCCACTAAACCTTTTCTACTTATCACTGAAGAATGCCTATCGAAAACTGGGGAGGGCGACTAATGAGAAAAATGGAAGAGACTAGAGCATTTTCTGTCTAAAAAAAAAAGCGACAGTTATTTTCTGTAATTAATCGATTTTTCAGGTGAAAGATAAGGAGAAAGCATAGTGATGATGAGAGAGGAAAATATCGCTCTCCAATTTTGGTTTAACTAGGATGAGGAATTAAGTCAATTATTAACTTCATTCACTGCAAAGAGCTTAAATTCTTAAAATCTGTCAGATGCAACTATGTAATAAAATTTGTGAAGAGACCATAACATAACATTTCACACAATTATGTGCTGAATATGATCTATTGTATTTGGGATACTTTGCAAATCAAATTATGCCTTGAGAAAAGAACTCTCATTTCTAGTCATATAGTTATTCATTTCTTTAATATTTGAATTGTTTTGAATAATGTTGTTTTAAAGAATATTGCTAAGAGGTGTGCACAGCAAAGCAACATGGATGGCAGAAAAAATCTACCCATATGTCCAGCCAGTCCTTGGGGTCCAGTCTCAGATTTTCCCTAACTAGCTGTAATGTGGGGCAAATTATTCAACCTCCTAGAGGCTGCTTTCTCATCTGTAAAATGGGCATAAATATACCTACCTCAAAGAACTGTGGAGAGCTGCAATGAGCTAAAATATCCAAAATATCTATTGCAAATTCCAGCACCCTGCCAACCAATGAATGGTAGTTATAGTATTATTTCAAATATTAGGGTGAAGTGTTAATGCAGCAGGGGCTGTGTCATTAAAGATGATCCATAACCTGCTTTCGACAGCAGTCACAGGGGTAAATTCTGAGACTCCATTTCGATGTCCTGGAACAGCAGGGCTGACCTGCTTATCCGCAAGGCCAGAGAGGTTGTTGGTTATATTCTCTGATCTGCTCATTAATGGGGCTATTAATATAACCCATAAAAAAGTTTGCAAAAGTGCATTAAAGTGTTACAAGAGGCAGGCTGCCGGATTGCAGTCTGACACACAAGCAAAATTAAAATGAGAAATAGAACTATTTGCTGGTTAACGCCCAACAAAGCGGACCATCCAGACACGTGGGACAATGACTATATTGTAACCCATATTTTACATTCCAAATCCTGTGACACTCCCCTAGCACTGAAATGGAAATTAGCCGTGCACGTGTGCAATGGCTCGGTCATCAATCTAACCCCACACCAGGACTCCTGTCTCCGTGAGAACACACGTGCGTGAGCTCCGGCTCCGGCTGTGGGCGGTGAGCCGTTCCGCTGCCCTCGGCGCAGTGAAGGTCAGATCCGGTGCTAAGCAAGGAGTCACTTTTAAAACATAAATTTTTCTGCTTATTAAGAAATATACACCAAAGGACATTGAGAAGCCAACCAAAAGCATGAAAAAGGAAAACAATGTGGTCATGCAGTCAGAAAAAAACAACAACCCATGTTCACTCTCGGAATACTTCTTCCCAATCTTCTTTGCACGGATTGTGTCTAATGAGTCGAAATTATACAATGCGCACAGTTTTATGTCCTGCTTTGACTGTGAACGTCACACGAGTATGTCCCCCGTTGCCACCAGGAAATGACGTTTTTAGATTACACAGCGTTCAATGTCACGAGGCGCCGCAGGCTTC